GCATGCTCAGATGATTTTGCGTACATTTATGTGACCAAACGATTTAATCACTCAGAAAGCGATGAAAATAGATCCAGCTTGTCGTTACCATGACTATGAAATTGAAAAATTTGTCAAATGGACTGTGCAGACTCATATGAAGTTTAAAGCCTAGTGCCAAACACTAATATTCCCTCACCAAATATTAAAAGAAAAGATGGTACAATGCTTTATGAATAAATTTCTTTAAAGTCTGTAGCAACTTGCAATCCTCCGTAGATTCTCCGGGAAGAGAGTCGTGACAAAAGAGGAAGAAGAAACTCGAATGTCGGAGTGGCAGCGATTGAAAGACGATGAGAATGAACGTTTACTTAAAGAAAGCAGAACTATTTCTGATATTCTTTTTGTTTCAAATGTCGATGTTTACAGAAATCTTCCATCCCAGTTGCTTCAGTTTTTCTCGTGGTAAGAGAGTGTCTGAGACTTTTTTATATTTTTTCATGCCACTGTGAAATTTCTGGCGATAAGTGGACAGTCTCAAATCAACTTTAAACATTATTTTTGCCCAAATAACTTGCATTAGTGTATAATTCATCTCGCCAGTATCTCCTTACCTACGACATCAGTCGTCATATGTCATATTGATCTTGCTTCATGTCGGCTTTTCTTTTTAAATAGGCTCTCGGCGACTTTAAGTTTTTCCTTTGTAATGAAAACTGACGATGATTGTTTTGTTAACCTGGAGACCATCTTACAGGTTTGTGAAAGCTCTTCAATTACATCTCCCAAGTAGGATAGCGTGGAGGGGCCGAAATCTCCTACCGAAACGTTAACATGCGGCGTTCTAGTGCCTTGCGCTTAAGAAGGTATCGGGAAGCATGGACCGAAAACGGGGTTTTTTGCTTTCGAATTTTATCTTTTTGTTTTCTTCTCATAAAACAAACCAAGCAATGTTTCAATTAACTTCTTATGACCCTGTCTTTTTCTGACACTTATAAATAAAGACAACCTTAAACATGTTTTATACCAATTTTATCGGTTTATATCTTTCTGATTTAACTCTCCCATTTACTGTTTCTCATGTATTACGAGCAAACCATACATATGTTTCATGGAAAACAAACAAGGATTATGTGGTTCCCTTAGTTAACATGCGACGCTCTAGTGCTCAACTATCTCGGGGTATCGGGAGGCATGGACGTAAACGGGATTCTTTGGTTTTCAAAATTTATCTTTTTCTTTACAAGAATTCTTCTCATAAAAAAAACTAGAACGTCCAAGGATACTTCAAAGGTTCAAACAACTTCTGCCTTTTTGAACTATAACTTAAAAAAACTCTAAGCATGTTTATACGTTTTTTACTTATTACCTTTTACAACGTAACTTTCTCATAACTCTCTCGTGATGAACGAGAGCCTCATTATACAATATGACTCTTTCATCATGAACGAACGCATCCATGGGCTTCACGGAAAAAAGGGATTATGTACTTTGTTATGAGAACAAACCTGTTAAGAAAACAGGTTGTTATTTTTATAACTATAAGCTGTGTACAAAAACAAAATGAGAGAAGTCACCATCATGCATAAAATGCATTCTGATACGTAGATGAACACTCGTATTTACTAATTAGCAGACCTGTATATATTATATATTACAGATAAACTTCAAAAATACTTATCTTCAATCTAGCAATCCAGTATCAGACTCTCTTAAATTATTTGGTAAGAAAGTTTTCTGTATTCCAAGAGTTGTTCCATCCATCACCACCTTCTGGGAATTCTTCCACATAATTCACAAAAACCCATTGTCAAAATCAATATCAAGCAACCTTAATAAGAGAAAATTCAATAACTTAATAAAACAAGCGATCACTATCTCAATGGAATATTCATATTTTGCAGCTGAAAATGAAATGATGCTTACCGTATCATGGCAATGATAGCGAGACGAAACTTGGCGTAAGTTATTTCCTTTGGGAAATTCAAACTACTCGAAGACACTTGCCTTTGTACATATGCAACATAATATTTGTACATAGGTAAACTGAACAAGAATAAAAAAGAAAAACATTCAAAAGATATAGTGCGAGAAAATTAAATAATGGACAAACGTAGCTACTAATGCTTCGGCAAATTTTCATTAAAAAGTACCTCGAAAAGCCGTTATGAAAAGCCGAATGTAATCTTTTAGATCGGCATGAGATATTGCATATGATCCAAACCATACAATCCTGTTTTCAATGCCATCATAATGCTTTTTCGTAGCACAAGAGGAGCAAGGTCTACAATACACTAAATAATTTATTTAAGTCAAATAATTATGAAGTGAAGCGTAACCTATAACAAATCAGAACTTACCCTTCACATCATGGATTGAACAAAAGTACGCAACTGAACACAAGTCTACGTACAACCATTCATCTTGAATAGAACGTTTATCCCACTCTGCACCACAAGAACAAATACCACTTTCAGATGGCGCCAAAATTTTATGACCATTTTTTTCAGGAAGATCAGTAAAATCGCTTGCATCATTCTCATTGCCTAAAATAATTAAATAGTAATATTTACAAAATGCTAGAAAGTGCTAAATACCATACCGATAAAGGAAATAGTATATGTAAAGCTAAAAGGATGTTCACCATTGCAGATTATCTTGCATACTTGTTTCAAATAAAGAAACCTTTTCTTTGCTAAGTGTAGCCAATTCAAAATAGTCTCGCATCTGGTGTAATTCCAAAGGAAAACTTAAAAAGTGCCAATGGAGAATCCATTTCATCCTCGTCAACGATTTGCATGGCTTTTGCAAGGGTTGTCACATGAATGCAATGATATGACGAATAGCTGCAACATTTTAACTCGGGCTGGGGCGGCATTACTTTTGAATACACTAAAGTACAAACCCCCCATGGACTATTCACTGGTTTTACAGCAATCCACTGAACCTCCCTGCACACTGCACTAAACAAGTCCTAAAATATGTAAAATCATTTATCTTTAAGGTTGTATTATGTGTGTGTATGTATGTGTGTGTATGTATGTGTGTGTATGTATGTGTGTGTATGTATGTGTGTGTATGTATGTGTGTATGTATGTGTGTGTATGTATGTGTGTGTATGTATGTGTGTGTATGTATGCAGATTAATAATTATGATTAATTATGACTTCACAAAATCCTTAGAAAGTGCTTAATATATATATATCAGGCACGTAAAGCAAATGGTGAATATGACTTTACTATTTTTGTCATACATTTAGTTTATACTACTTAATGTATGTACTGTAAGTATGTGGCTATGTATGTATGTGAGTATGAATGTGTATACCTCAATAGTCATAAATAAATTCAATTTGCCCTGTTGGTTATCACCCTAATAGCTTTATAGAAGCTCCTGAACTTAGGCACAGGATGTATGGTAACAAATTGTGGGGTATTAGAAGGTTGAGAAACAATACGTGTATTTGTACAAAAAAGTTATTTTCACATAACAAAATATACTTCTTCAGGTTGCATCTCATGGTAGGAATGATCACTGAAAACAGACTGCATCATGGATGTGGATTCTGCATTCATAAAAGAAATTCCATGAGATAAATATATTGTGTAAATAATCATTCACAAGTTTTAACAATATTTTTGCTTGTAAAGCTGTGCGGGTTAACATCCACATGTAATAAGAACAATGTCGAACAAGGGTCTTGTAAAAACACAGAAGGATGACTTCACAAGGGTTTGAAATGTACAATAAACTGATATTTAAGGATGAAGACATTTTCTCCCATACCACATGAAGAACTTTACATTGAAAAATAAGCCAAATACAAATTTGAGACATTCACTACATGCAATGTCAGATTAATATGTAACAAGTTCTCACATCTTTGACAAGGGTCTTGAAACAAATAGTATGTAAGTGTAAGTCAAAATTTGGTGAAGCTGTTCAGACACCTTATATCCTGAAAGAGTAACACACAACACTTACTTTTTCAATAAAATCTTTGGCTTCAATACCAAACTTTCTATCATACACAACCAGATATTTTTCCATTGCTAATATGTGTATGCAACTCGGATATGGTATATCTGACAAGTACAAAAATGTTGTTTGGCCTGTTTTAATCATTTCATTTCAGTAACATCTATTTTACATACCTTTTTGAGGATCTAATTGTATATTATTAGGTAGGGCATCAACAAATTGCTTTCTATTTGCATCACATGAGCAGCACAATATCCAACCATAGCCATCAAGCAATAGGTGGGGATATCGATGTACAAATACAAATGAATTATGCTGAAGAAAAAAATACATGCAGATTATAGCACCAAAAAAAGCGTATTGAGTAATATCATTTAGTTGGGTATATACCCAACATTGAAATTATGGAAATAAAATTTGACATCACCATAATTGTTCTTTTGTTTGCATTATAATCATGAACAACAAAGGATTGCTGACATGATACATTTGATGCAAAGTCAAACTGTAACAATAGCCCAGTATAGTGGCCAGTGGGTGACAAATGACTCTGAAAGAGCAAGTACACAGTAATTATTAATGTTCACTGTTTCAAAAATATCTATTGTAATATATTTTTATGTTTGTTGAGCACATTTCTACCAGATGTTAATAAAGTTTTGCTAGACAGTGTTTCATGCATAAGCAATCAACAAGCATATTGTCAATTTATAACACATTAAAAACATGACTAGTGGTAAACAGTATAAAGTATAACTGTATATGTGAGAACTACTTGACTATGTTGACATGGTTGTTTGGGTTCCTCTGTAATAATAGAGATAGATTGCTTGGTAAAGATATCTTCAGAGTCCTACAAATAAAGACCATTATTTAATTTAAAATGTGTACAGACTTTTAATAAGTGTTTAAATAATGCATGCCTTCTTTAAATTACTTCAAAATTTTTTAGTTATTTCTAGTGAAAGCAGTCCTACATATAACCACTTCCAATGACTTTTCATGAGAAACAATATCAATATGTACATTAAAACTTGTGTTTTGGTGGTTAACTCTTGGTGCTTGTCATAATTTTCAGCAATATCTTCACTTTGTTCATTCTACATATAAATTAAAAAAAACCCATAAACATAGCGTATTTTTATATCTACATAGTTTTACAATATATGTAAACTTACCAAATCCCCAAATTCATTTTCTTGTTCAAAAAATTGAGATTCATATGACACACTGCTATTCTATTAACATATATGACATTGTGATTAAAGGATGTAGAGAATCCAGACTTGAAATTGGAAAATGTGCTCCGAATAAGTGTTTTTCCTTACACCACATTGTGGGCATAAATAAATTTGTACACATACTTTTGTTAATATAACTGTGGTAATAAAAATAAATTAATATGAAATTGTGCAACCAGAAACAATAAAAGAACACTTTAAAATTCCTACCGCATCATCTTTTGTGTGTTTCCTTTCCTCTCCGCGTTATTGTAATTTGACGGGAAATGGTTTTTATTCACTCTTACATCTTCTGCCTTTATAATTAGTCGATCTGTATTTCTAAACTAATATTTACAAATGCCCCAAGAGAATCTTTTTATTTTATTGGCTCTCTTCTACAAATACAATACCATGTCCGACTATTTGATTGCACGAATTTTGTAATTTGATCACGTTTTTGACACGTGTGTTTACGATGGGAAAGATGGATTGCTTAAATGTACCTAGTTGTTTAGACTACTTGAATCCATAGTTATCCTGTAATGTATACTCTTGTGAAACACCAATGAGCATACGTAGTGTGTCTTCTATAACCTCTATTCTTGTTCTCCACTTCATCATCTATCCATATTTGTTCTTTTTTAGTTCTCAGCTCAACACAACCCTTGTCTGAAGTTCCTAAAACCTTCATCTACCCAAGAAAGATCTCTGGTGGTAACATGTTAGGTATGGCTAGTGGTTGGTCATCGTCATTGAGCCTTGTGACACCAGTTCAGTATACGTTAATTGTCCTGAAGACGTTGAGGAGGTTGCTAGTAAAGCGTCACCTAAACCAGAAGTTAGTTTTCATGGTATGCTAACGGATTACGCAAACGTTGTTTGAAAGAAGTTCACATCAAATGGTTATGGTCTCGTTCCATCGTCTTCTGAGAAGGTTTCATGTTCATCCTGTATCTTTCACCAAAGTTACAAATATTGAGTTTTTTATGCTTTTTGAAATTGTCGTTTTATGACTATTATTTTAGAGCATAGATATTGAAGAATCTTGTGGTAGTACAGGTATTTTCAACATTTTTGTTGAAAAATTCTCTAGTTTCAATTCTTCGAAATTTCTCATCTTAATTTTCATCTTTACTTTAGAATCCTTTCGATACGAGAAATCGTCGGGATTTGAGGTACTTTATACGATATATTGAATTTAAGTTTTATAGCGTTAATAACTCTCATCTGTCCATCGTAACTTTGCTATGATTCTATGGATAAATTATGTTTTGTATATAACAGATTATTGATGATCCTACTTCACCTGAAGGTGTTCAGTAAGAACGACGTATGAAGTTACTGTCGTTAATTAACAATATAGCCCTTGATAAAGGGTTGGATGGTCAAAATTATAAATGTCATGGTTGTTCGAGACCAATTGGAATGAGTATGATCAATGAATTCTCGACTTGTTATTTGCTAATAACTCAAATATATTTTTATTTTCAAATTTCTTAGCTTAATAAATGTTATCTTTGTAGAAACTATTATAACAAAGTACATAATACCTTTTTTCCGTGAAGCCCATGGATGCGTTCGTTTATGATGAAAGAGTCATATTGTATAATGAGGCTCTCGTTCATCACGAGAGAGTTATGAGAAAGTTACGTTGTAAAAGGTAATAAATAAAAAACTTATAAACATGCTTAGAATTTTTTTAAGTTATAGTTCAAAAAGGCAGAAGTTGTTTGAACCTTTGAAATATCCTTGGACGTTCTAGTTTTTTTATGAGAAGAATTCTTGTAAAGAAAAAGATAAATTTTGAAAACCAAAAATCCCGTTTTCGGTCCATGCCTCCCGATACCCCGAGATAGTTGAGCACTAGAGCGTCGCATGTTAACTAAGGGAACCACATAATCCTTGTTTGTTTTCCATGAAACATATGTATGGTTTGCTCGTAATACATGAGAAACAGTAAATGGGAGAGTTAAATCAGAAAGATATAAACCGATAAAATTGGTATAAAACATGTTTAAGGTTGTCTTTATTTATAAGTGTCAGAAAAGACAGGGTCATAAGAAGTTAATTGAAACATTGCTTGGTTTGTTTTATGAGAAGAAAACAAAAAGATAAAATTCGAAAGCAAAAAACCCCGTTTTCGGTCCATGCTTCCCGATACCTTCTTAAGCGCAAGGCACTAGAACGCCGCATGTTAACGTTTCGGTAGGATATTTCGGCCCCTCCACGCTATCCTACTTGGGAGATGCCAATAGCAAGCTTCCGCCCATCAGACCCTGAGATCACCTGCGATAGGCTTTGCTCAGGGTACGCAGGGAGTGCGGTCGCCACCGAAGTGTGGGCCCCTAAGGCACTGCATACTATATCGCACCCAGCTTCCACTGCTAGTTGATATCTACTATATGAAGTTTTAGCTTTATATATATATACCAAAATTTAAAGGCGTACGAAAGTTGTGGGATGATTGTTATCGTTACTGCGCATGCCCAGATGATTTCTTTGATAATTTGCGACTAAGTGAGTTAATTGACACAAATGTAGTGCAAGTACATATAGTTGGTCGTTGTCATGACTATGAACAATTACTCGAGTGGACTGCGCATGCTCGAGCTTATGCGCAGACGATTTCTCTATTAAATTGTTACTAAGCATGATATTTACTTCAAAATTGGTGCTAGTAGATGCAGTTGGTCGTCGCCATGACCATGAACTTGGGTAGCTGGTCAAGTTGACTGCGCATGCTCAATGAGACTGCGCATGCGCAGATGATTTGTCTTAAAACGTGTGACTGAGCGAGCTAATTACTCCAAAATCGGTACTAGTACATCCAGTTGGTCGTTACCATGAGCTTGGAGAGTTTGTGGAGTTGACAACGCATGCTCAGATTCTCAATTAATTTGTGACAGAGCGAGCTCTGAAATTGGTGCTTGTAGATGCGCTGAGCAAGTTTTCCATCATATATTTTTGGCATGCTCTTTGTCTACTTAAGCTTGTTTTGACAAATGCATGTGAAACTCGTCAACACTTTGTTACGGCACTCGAAATATCCGTGACAACCTTAAAATGTTTTTATTTTTCTCTACAACTTTATACTTGCATATTGCATGTCATATCCAAGCTTTCCTTTGATTTGACGGAAATGGTTTTATTCACTCTTACATCTTCTGCCTTTATAATTAGTCGATCTGTATTTCTAAACTAATATTTACAAATGCCCCAAGAGAATCTTTTTATTTTATTGGCTCTCTTCTACAAATACAATGCCATGTCCGACTATTTGATTGCACGAATTTTGTAATTTGATCACGTTTTTGACACTTGTGTTTACGATGGGAAAGATGGATTGCTTAAATGTACCTAGTTGTTTATACTACTTGGATCCATAGTTATCCTGTAATGTATACTCTTGTGAAACACCAATGAGCATACGTAGTGTGTCTTCTATAACCTCTATTCTTGTTCTCCACTTCATCATCTATCCATATTTGTTCTTTTTTAGTTCTCAGCTCAACACAACCCTTGTCTGAAGTTCCTAAAACCTTCATCTACCCAAGAAAGATCTCTCGTGGTAACATGTTAGGTATGGCTAGTGGTTGGTCATCGTCATTGAGCCTTGTGACACCAGTTCAGTATACGTTAATTGTCCTGAAGACGTTGAGGAGGTTGCTAGTAAAGCGTCGCCTAAACCAGAAGTTAGTTTTCATGGTATGCTAACGGATTACGCAAACGTTGTTTGAAAGAAGTTCACATGAAATGGTTATGGTCTTGTTCCATCGTCTTCTGAGAAGGTTTCATGTTCATCCTGTATCTTTCACCAAAGTTACAAATATTGAGTTTTTTATGCTTTTTGAAATTGTCGTTTTTATGACTATTATTTTAGAGTATAGACATTGAAGAATCTTGTGGTAGTACAGGTATTTTCAACATTTTTTTGTTGAAAAATTCTCTAGTTTCAGTTCTTCGAAATTTCTCATCTTAATTTTCATCTTTACTTTAGAATCCTTTCGATACGAGAAATCGTCGGGATTTGAGGTACTTTATACGATATATTGAATTTAAGTTTTATAGCGTTAATAACTCTCATCTGTCCATCGTAACTTTGCTATGATTCTATGGATAAATTATGTTTTTGTATATAACAGATTATTGATGATCCTACTTCACCTGATGATCCTCACGCTCTTATTTCGCTATCTGGACTTTAACACAAGATCACGAATATGAGACGATAAAGACAAATTCCGGTTACAAATACAGGCGCTGCGTCAAACCGTGGTTCACTAATGCCTTTGAAATCGGTAAAGTCCTTTATTATTTTGCTTGTAAGCTTTCTTTACAACTGTAAGTTTTTACTCTCCTAAGACTATAGGCACGACCACAACTGATAATCGCCAGGTTGGTATAGTTTCGAGAAGGACTGTTTTTGTTGTTGTTGACTGACGTTTCGACAACCTTAGCGGTAGTCATCTTCAGAGTTTTTGACTATACTAACCTGGACGATCTACATTTACAAACATGTAACGATACTCTCGGGTTCAAACCATTTACTTTGATAATCCCCAGTTTATCTATGGTGAAACTTGTTATAATTCCCATGTATTTTCTTACTCTCTGGAGACTAAATTTTGTATCCCTTTCTTCTTTCCTAGGCGAGGTTTTATTTCTGCTGTGGGGTGTTTGGCTTTGTATCCGTGTACGAAATGCTCCCTCGGCGTACAACGAGAGCAAGTACATCGCCTGGTGTATATATAACACTCTGTTTGTTAAGATCGTAGTTGGTCTTCTGAGGTAAGGCAAAATGTTTGCATCGGTGTTACTGTCATTTTTCATGAAAGGTTGAATTGTTGGAATGTTATTAAACAAAAAGAATGATAGCATATAATGCTATAACCAACAACTAAAAACAATAACGACCTTATCTAACAACATTTGAGAAATTAACCTTCCACTCCTCTTCCTTGTAAACGAGACAAGTCTACTCAAAAGCAGAAGGGCATAAAGGCTCTCTGCCTTTGAGTAGACTTGTCTCGTTTAGAAGAGGAAAATTAAATGTTGTTAGATAAGGTCGTGTGTTTGTATGTTGGTTGCATTAAAAGTTGAATTGTTTTGACAACATTCTCTTTTATTTAGAATTGTTCTAGATAACTTTCACAATCCTGATGTGGCGTATGTCGTAAACAGTTTGTCAACGCATGTCATTGCCACCGTTATGTTGGTTTTGCTCTTTGCTTTCAAGGTAATGGTTGTACTGTTAACTTAGTATTAATTACTGCCGATGAAAGAGGATCTTAAAACCTCTCAAAAGCAGAAATTTGTAATCTAGAGAGCTTCGGGTTTTTGTCAATACGTCTATCTACTGGACCTTTTCTTCGTTGAGTTTTGGCTTTCCATCAATGAACGAGTAAGCGTTTTACGATTGATTATGAAGTGTGTTATGATGCGATTGGCAATGAGCCCGAAAAGAAAATAGAACAAAAGCTTTTTAATAGAACGGCCAAGCCCAACTTGAAGAGCTCTCGAAGATAAACACGTCAGATTATCCTCGATGCCTTATATTTTCTTCATTAAATTTTATTTTTCAAAACTTTAAATTGAATATTGTCGTTGAAACACCATATGGTGAACAAATTAGCGTAAACAAATGGCCAAATATGTCTTGGACGTTCGTTTCAAATATCAAAAGAGATTAGCCAAGGGTTACATTCTCTCATCGAAAGGAATCATGCAGCAGCGAAGATACTTATCTCTTTGTTATGCTTTAGGTCACGCGAAGTCGTTTTCATTAAATTACGAAATGTTTTAGGATACATTACGACACATATTGACTAATGTGGAAGTATGAATGTTATAAAACTGCACGACGCGTTTTTTCAAAGGACATTTCTCTGTTTCGAAGCATACTCAAGTATTCCAGTACATAACATTTAATGCTTAATAAAGTAAATGGTTTGAACCCGGGAGTATCGTTACACGTTTGTAAATGATGATCGTCCAGGTTAATAAAGTCCTGAGAAGGACTGTTTTGTTGTTGACTGACGTTTCGACAACCTTAGCGGTAGTCATCTTCAGAGTCATTTTGACACTGACTCTGAAGGTGACTACCGCTAAGGTTGTCGAAACGTCAGTCAACAACAACAAGTCCTTCTCAGGACTTTCTGGACGATCATCATTTAAACATTAATCTTAAGTCAGTCTGTGTACTTGCTGACCTATACCACCTGCCCTCCTCGATATTAAATTTTTCCTGTCTGTTTTAAAGGTATACTTCTTGAAAAAATACAATGTAAATCAAAGAAGGCGTTCTCGGGGTAGTTCGTCTATAGCCACAACGATGACGGATCTTCGTAAATCACCATTTCATCTCAACCGTTTGGAGGACGGTACTTTGGTGTGCGAAAACGATGAAGAGAAAAGCCGCGAGGGTCTGGAAACTGAGAATATACAACTGAGGGTAAGATGTTTTGGGAATACTGTTTGAGTACAGATTAAAACGAGGATTTTTCGAAGAATGTTCAAAGAAACAATGTCAATGGTTATTGTCTTAAATACAAAGAACGACTCTCCATTTGCAAAGTGGGTGGCCTAGGTTTGAGGGTTAGGGGAGATTTGTCAGATCATCGCAGAGTTGCTAAAGAACGAGTCGATCGTGAGATGCGCCAGGGTCTGACGGGAAGGTATGGGGGAAATGAGTTGAACTTTGGTCCCTGTGATGGTATTCACGTCCAATTACGGTCTTTCAGTTTCTCAAAACTTGAAAATTGAATGTGTGCTCCTTGTGACAGCACATTATGCATTAAGCCATTTATAGGCGCACGTCAAACAACGTGTGAAATATGCTTTTGTTAAACAACTGCCAAAATCTCAACTCACGCAACACGCGAAAGTGATCATTATCACTTGTAGTTGATTATTATCCCCAATTTACAGAGATTATCATCTTCAATATAGAGTAATTATCCTCAATTAAAACCATTGAAATTGTAGCAAAGAATCCGTTAACACTTATGAAATAAGCCGATTTATATTAAAATCATTATCCTTACACTTTTCACAGGAGGAAATACGTGATTTGACTGCGAAACTTGCAGCATGTGAATACAAACAACAACGAGAGCAGAGACGACAACAAGGAAGTCCACAAGAAAACAGCTACATTTCCACGAGTAGCGAGACTCGTCACTCCAGATTCAACAGCGAGACGGAGAGCGCTCAGGGTTGAGAGTCGGAATCTCCCGATAAAATTGGTCAAAAGGTGTCGAACGTTGCCGACAGCTTGACAAGCAACAGTAGCGTGTTCACACGCGAGGAAAGAGGTGGAAGTTTAATAGAAGATATTAAAAACGCTGATCGTTTTATCGCCCTACCAAACGGTAGTAGCGTTTCCGATGAAGAAACTTTAACGGTCATGTCAAACGTTTCTGTTGAATCCTCGTGATATTGAAAAGATTCTTGGAGGAATATGGCCGTGTGTTCTACTGAAGAGAATATTTATGGATCCTGTTTCAGGAAAGATGAGATTTGACAATGAACTGTGGTACAACTTGACTACCACGAAGATGTTTCCACATAAAGATTAACTCCTACGAGAAGAAAGTTAATTATAAACGATCGAATCGACTTACTAAACCTTTCCCACAATAAATATTCAAACGCAAAAAACGACATGCATTTCGTTAAGAAAATGTGAAACATTTTATGCTTATCTCTGATTTTATGACGTTTTCGTCGCTAATGACGTAATTTGACGCTATGACGTAATTTGATCGCAGTCAAGTCTGTACTTATACACTTTACACAATGAGCATTGCAATAAATATTTTACATGAAGTACGCAGGGACATAAGCGAGGCTAATCGAAATCTTTACACCTGCATGGCAAATTTTTAGCAAAATTATTCGGAATTATTTCGATTGTTTTGCAGTTAATGAACACAAAAATATTTGCATAGCAGGAATAATGTCGATATTCAAGCAATAACCATTTTATACAAAACGTTTACACAGCGCTATAGATTTTATTTAATTTAAATTAATGTCGTTCGTAAAAGCCAAAACATTAAATTTGTAATATAGAGAAAATAGATTTAATTAAGTGAAAAAAAGATAAAAAGTTTAATTGAAGCTGTACTTTTCTATCTTTTTGTGTGGATTTGGAATTTTTCTTATCTCCCTCTTCCCCGACATAACTAACGTACCTCAACATTTGCAAGGATTACCGCAGGACATAAAGTTTTCCCATAAATAGAGAAGAGAATCGGCATCCTGCTCGGGCAAGGTAAACATTTCCATCTGACAATCCCCGAAACACGACCATCGCTCATCCTGAAGTATTTGAAATAGAAAGGAAACACCGTCACATGTTCGGCCGCTGGTTCATAAGAACCTGGGCTCGTAAGAGTAAGATCAACATAAAGGATCTTGTTGAACAACCGTCACAAACTTGCAGAGAAGAAAAGGAGATCTTACCTTATAAATTTCAGGAGCAATAGCTGATAACCAAATACCCATAGAGACATCCTCCCCCTTTACACAAGAAAAAAACAAAACATGTGTCAATATCTAGTACTCTGAGAACTACATCTTTACACATCAAGAGGTCACTTTCAACATTGTAATCTCGTCGTGGTTTTTCTATCATATACCTGATAACGTTTTAGAGATTTCTCGTTTTTTGCCAGCCAGTGAACAATATCCGAAGATATAATGCTGCCCGCACCGCAGGCAAATGTCGGATAAGCCACTCCCGGATAATCAGGCTCGGCCCATTTTCCCTGTCTCTCGATCAACCAATCAGTACGAAAGCTGTAAATATGAAGAAGCAATTGCATTTAGAAGCAATAACTACAACTCATATTCTCATACCTTATTTATAGTTTAGTCGCATGGAAAACGCTAATTCGTATGTTTGCAATCTCGTTTCTGTTTTACTTGAAAAATATTATAAATTTGGCAATTCCTAATGCCCAAAACATGATATCTCAAAAGGATTTTCACTATGTCAATAAAATCTTTAGAATGGACTCAGTATAAAGTAGATGGTTTGAACCCGGGAGTATCGTTACATGTTTGTAGATGTACATCGTCCAGGTTAGTAGAGTCCTGAGAAGTGTTGTTGCTGTTGGTGTTGACTAACATTTCGACAATCTTAGCAGTAGTATTTTTGACTCTGAAGATGACTACCGCTAAGGTTGTCGAAACTTCAGTCAACATCAACACCAACAGTCCTTCTCAAGACTCTACTAACCTGGACGATCTACATCTACAAACACGTACACAGAATATTGTGTACTGACGGAGTTGAGCTAAACTAACCTTCCCCACCAGACGTGTTTTTTAAATTATGACTTTCCATTTCCTAAAAATATCAAATATTTCTTCAGTCGTGAAGTTCTTCGGTACACTATTAAAGATATAAAGCTTAATTAAAGACACCCTTACAAATCGCTTGATTGAGTAAAATCTTTAGATTGAGTCAAAAATCATCTGTGCAGCTTGTATACTTCCGGAGGTAATTAATGTTGAAATCGACTCTATACTGAGCATGCGCAATTTCTATTTCCTCGTGCTTTTATTGTAGAGACTCGGGACGAGGCTCATTCCAAAGCTCTCAATGAGAGGTCTGGGATGGTGTAAAAATCATCTCCACAGCATGGTTTAAGAGTGGCGTAAGGGTGTTTTAAGGGTGGTTTAAGGGTAGAGTAAGGATGTTTTAAGGGTAGCGTAAAATGTTTTAAGGGAGTTTTAAGGGTAGCTTCAGCGTGGTTTAAAGGTGGTCCAAGGCTTTAAGTTACGCTTCGCTACCCTAGACTACGGTTAAACCACCCTTAAACTACCCTTAAGCCCCTCTAAAACCACATCTCAACCATTTTAAAAACCACGCTTAAGCCACCAGATTGATATACTCCAAAATCCCAAGATACATCTACGTACTCCAAAATCCCAAGATACCTCTACATACTCCCAACTCCCAAGTTACCTCTACGTACTCCCAACTCCCAAGTTACCTCTACGTACTCCCAACTCCCAAGTTACCTCTACGTACTCCCAACTCCCAAGTTACCTCTACGTACTCCCAACTCCCAAGTTACCTCTACGTACTCCCAACTCCCAAGTTACCTCTACGTACTCCCAACTCCCAAGTTACCTCTACGTACTCCCAACTCCCAAGTTACCTCTACGTACTCCCAACTCCCAAGATACCAACACGTATTTTCTATTATTTATTGAAGAGCTTTCACAAACCTGTAAGATGGTCTCCAGGTTAACAAAACAATCATCGTCAGTTTTCATTACAAAGGAAAAACTTAAAGTCGCCGAGAGCCTATTTAAAAAGAAAAGCCGACATGAAGCAAGATCAATATGACATATGACGACTGATGTCGTAGGTAAGGAGATACTGGCGAGATGAATTATACACTAATGCAAGTTATTTGGGCAAAAATAATGTTTAAAGTTGATTTGAGACTGTCCACTTATCGCCAGAAATTTCACAGTGGCATGAAAAATATAAAAGTCTCAGACACTCTCTTACCACGAGAAAAACTGAAGCAACTGGGATGGAAGATTTCTGTAAACATCGACATTTGAAACAAAAGAATATCAGAAATAGTTCTGCTTTCTTTAAGTAAACGTTCATTCTCATCGTCTTTCAATCGCTGCCACTCCGACATTCGAGTTTCTTCTTCCTCTTTTGTCACGACTCTCTTCCCCGGAGAATCTACGGAGGATTGCAAGTTGCTACAGACTTTAAAGAAATTTATTCATAAAGCATTGTACCATCTTTTCTTTTAATATTTGGTGAGGGAATATTAGTGTTTGGCACTAGGCTTTAAACTTCATATGAGTCTGCACAGTCCATTTGACAAATTTTTCAATTTCATAGTCATGGTAACGACAAGCTGGATCTATTTTCATCGCTTTCTGAGTGATTAAATCGTTTGGTCACATAAATGTACGCAAAATCATCTGAGCATGCGCAGTACGCTTGGAAATGCGCAGTACAAGCAAAGTCTATTTGACCAATTGTCTGAGTAAACGATCATGGAAATGACCAACTGCATTTATTAGAATCAATTAGGGAGTAGATAACTTGCTTACTAACAAATTATTAAAGATATCAACTGAGCATGCGCAGTTCACTTGACAGTTTTTGACTTCATAGTTATGGCAACGACCAGCTGCATCTACAAGCACCGAATTTGAAGTAAATAGCATGCTTAGTAACAATTAAATGGATAAATCATCTGCGCATGCGCAGGTGCATGCGCAGTACATTCGACCAATTGTTTATAGTCATGGCAACGACTAACTATATGTACTTGCACTATATTTGTGGCAATTAGCTCACTTAGTCGCAAATTATCAAAGAAATCATCTGGGCATGCGCAGTAGTGACTTTAATAATACCGCAACTTTCGTAAGCCTCTGAATTTTTGTATATATATATAAAGCCAATATTAGGTATAGTAGATGTCAACTAGCAGTGGAAGCTGGGTGCGATATGTATGCAGTGGCTTAGGGGTCCAGACGTTTCGGGTCGCGACCGCACTCTCCCTGCGTACCCCGAGCAAAGCCTATCGCAGGTGATCTCGGGTCTGATGGGCGGAAGCTTGCTATTGCATCTCCCAAGTAGGATAGCGTGGAGGGCCGAAATCTCCTACCGAAACGTTAACATGCGGCGTTCTAGTGCCTCGGCTTAAGCAGGTATCGGGAAGCATGGACCGAAAACGGGTTTTGCTTTTGAATTTAATCTTTTTTTGTATAAAAGAAACTAGAACATTCAAGGATATTGCAAAAGTTAAAAAATTCCGCCTTAATGACTTATAATTTAAACCAACTGTAAATATGTTTATACGCTTTTACATGTTAACTTTTACAAGGTAACTATCTCATAACTCTCGTGATGAACGAGAGCCTCCTTATACAATATAACTCTCATATCATGAACAAAAGTATCCATGAGCTTCATGGAAAAATGGATTATCTAATTCTTATAATAGATTTTACAAAGTTAGCATTTAATAAGCCAAGCCATTTGTATCGTTTAAATCAGGTCAGTAGAGTCCTGAGAAGGACTGCTGGTGTTGATGTTGACTGACGTTTCGACAACTTTAGTGGTAGTTATCTTCAGAGTCAAGTGAGGAGTAAACGTCAGGTTTGCCATATTTGTTATCTGCTTGCAGACGTTTACTCCTCACTCGACTTTGAAGATGACAACCACTAAGGTTGTCGAAACATCAGTCAACATCAACACCAACAGCCCTTCTCAGCACTCTACTAACCTGTACAAACATGATAACGATACTCCCGAGCTCAAACAATTCACTTGAATATTTTGATAAATTATCGACTTGTTACTCACCTTTGGCAAAATAAAGTTTTCAATTGCTTTAAACGACGAACCGTTTTCTGTTGTACCAGGGTCTTGGAAAGAGAAATAAACAGATATAATTTCGCTCTGAAACGAGATAAAACAATTTAGATCAAATAACTTGTAAACGGTATTTATAAACTGCATGGTTTAACCTTAGTTGTTCTGTCGTAGAGTCGAACAGAAGAGTTTCTTTTTGAATTCAACGATGATAAAGAGATGCCAAGACGAGTCAAAATAATGGGACGGATGATCTGTATAAAAATAATTGTATTGTATTGCCAACCCAAATTTTACTCCTGAAGCCAAACAGACACTTTATGCAACAGGTTTCAGACTTTGTTCAGAAGGTCCCAAAGTTCAATGCAACAGTGTCCGTTGAGCAGTTCTTAATGGCTACAAATAACTAACTAATACTCACATCAAAGTCCCATCCGATAGATCCACTGTGAAAATATCTCAAATTTTCTTCATTTGCTCGTTTGTAAGCAATTACTTCATTTTCGTAGTCTAAACATCAATATGACAAACATATAAACACGTTTGATCATGCACTCGTTCCAGCCTCTATGACGGTAAAATCTCCATGAGAGATAGCAACACATATTTCCATCAAGACTGTCTGATCTTCGCTACAAATACATACAGCAATGATAAATTCGCAGCAGTGGCTGATTAATAATTATGGAGCATGTAGGCTAAGGCAAAATTACGAGGCCTGGTGATATTTAATCCCTCCACTAAGCTCAGTCTCTTGACAACGTTTGCGTTCTTTACGTTCCTTTGCCTTTGCATTTCCTAGCTTGCGTTTGTAACACATAGTGTGAACGATACAAAAGAAATTAATAGTTCAAAATAAACTTTAAAATTATCAAAACAGTCTGCAGAAATAGGAAATCCTCGTCAGTTCTTAGCCTCGCGCATTTAAACACTAGATGGTACGAAAGTCTTTTTCGTCGATATTCAATCGCACGTACGGTTTTCAACATCATAAATGGTCTAAAAACGGCACTTTTAGCAAGTTCCAAGCAGCAAAAAGTAAAAACTAACAATGTCTTGGTTTACTTTTCGTAATGAGTAATCCGCAACTGATTAACTTTAAATATCACATGTATAGTAGGTTATGTTCGACGTTTGTAAATATGTGCCTCGTTAGTTTATCGCCTGCATCGAGATTCCAACGTCATATTGTTTTATATCGGCTTTTTCAGGCGCCAAACCTCACAACTATCAAATCAAAAGTAAATTTTCAAACTTGGAGATGATCACAGCAATTACCGGCACCTTACAAACGACTTATTCACAATACAAACAAACGATCAACTAAAAACATTACACTTCAAACTAATTCACAATGACAATACACAATTGACACCCACACTACAACTAAAAACGTCACACCTAAATCACACATCACAACTAAAAATAAAATATTTCACTTCACACTAATCCACAATGACAATACACATTTCCTGCACATTTCCTGTACACACAATACAATGACGTAAGAACCAGACAACAAATACGGCTAACCTGACGTTTACTCCTCATTTGACTCTGAAGATGACTACCGCTAAGGTTGTCGAAACGTCAGTCAACAACATCAAAAACAGTCCTTCTCAGGACTTTATTAACCTGGACGATCATCATTTACAAACATATAACGATACTCCCGGGTTCAAACCATTTACTTTATTAAAGACATACGTTGTAAACGTTCTCTGGTATTGAAGAAATACGTTGTAAACGTTCTCTGGTATTGAAGAAATACGTTGTAAACGTTCTCTGGTATTGAAGAAATACGTTGTAAACGTTCTCTGGTATTGAAGAAATACGTTGTAAACGTTCTCTGGTATTGAAGAAATACGTTGTAAACGTTCTCTGGTATTGAAGACATACGTTGTAAACGTTCTCTGGTATTGAAGAAATACGTTGTAAACGTTCTCTGGTATTGAAGAAATACGTTGTAAACGTTCTCTGGTATTGAAGAAATACGTTTTAAACGTTCTCTGGTATTGAAGAAATACGTTTTAAACGTTCTCTGGTATTGAAGAAATACGTTGTAAACGTTCTCTGGTATTGAAGAAATACGTTGTAAACGTTCTCTGGTATTGAAGACATACGTTGTAAACGTTCTCTGGTATTGAAGAAATACGTTGTAAACGTTCTCTGGTATTGAAGAAATACGTTGTAAACGTTCTCTGGTATTGAAGAAATACGTTTTAAACGTTCTCTGGTATTGAAGAAATACGTTTTAAACGTTCTCTGGTATTGAAGAAATACGTTGTAAACGTTCTCTGGTATTGAAGAAATACGTTGTAAACGTTCTCTGGTATTGAAGAAATACGTTGTAAACGTTCTCTGGTATTGAAGAAATACTTTGTAAACGTTCTCTGGTATTGAAAAAATACGTTGTAAACGTTCTCTGGTATTGAAGAAATACGTTTTAAACGTTCTCTGGTATTGAAGAAATACGTTTTAAACGTTCTCTGGTATTGAAGAAATACGTTGTAAACGTTCTCTGGTATTGAAGAAATACGTTGTAAACGTTCTCTGGTATTGAAGACATACGTTGTAAACGTTCTCTGGTATTGAAGAAATACGTTGTAAACGTTCTCTGGTATTGAAGAAATACGTTGTAAACGTTCTCTGGTATTGAAGAAATACGTTTTAAACGTTCTCTGGTATTGAAGAAATACGTTTTAAACGTTCTCTGGTATTGAAGAAATACGTTGTAAACGTTCTCTGGTATTGAAGAAATACGTTGTAAACGTTCTCTGGTATTGAAGAAATACGTTGTAAACGTTCTCTGGTATTGAAGACATACTTTGTAAACGTTCTCTGGTATTGAAAAATACGTTGTAAACGTTCTCTGGTATTGAAGAAATACGTTGTAAACGTTCTCTGGTATTGAAGAAATACGTTGTAAACGTTCTCTGGTATTGAAGAAATACGTTGTAAACGTTCTCTGGTATTAAAGAAATTCGTTGTAAACGCGACAGGCCAATTTGAAACACTGTTCTACACTTTACCTTCACAAATATTGTGTTTGCTGTAACGTTTCACACGCTAAGTAGCTCTAATTGAATACAAAACACACTACAGCTACCCTCAAGAAAATTCAGTGTTTTCCCTGTGCTTACCTTTTATTTAGAGATGAATGTCGTCTTGCATAGCCAACCCATGATTCACGTAAACTTTGCCTCAAATCAAAGTTGCCGCGCGATGAAAGTATTCCAACGACCAAATCATAATGAGAATAATTCTCTGCTGTCAAGAACATTATTTTAAAACATTAAAGAAAACAAGTGGAAACACAAATACAAAAATGGACTATGTAGGATAAAGTTTTTAGATAACATGGTTAAATAACACTAGCGAAAGTTTCAATAAAAGATCACTCTTGATGAAAACATAAGACTGGAGTATATAAGGACTCAAGATTCAACATCAGATCACTCCTGATGAAGACACTAGACTGGAGTATATAAAGACTCAAGATTCAACATCAGATCTCTCCAGATGAAGACATTAGTCTGGAGTATATAAGGACTCAAGATTCAACATCACATCACTCCTGATGAAGACACTAGACTGGAGTATATAACGACTCAAGATTCAACATCAGATCACTCCTGATGAAAACATAAGACTGGAGTATATAAGGACTCAAGTTTCAACATCAAATCACTCCTGATGAAGACACTAGACTGGAGTATATAAGGACTCAAGTTTCAACATCAGATCACTCCTGATGAAGACACTAGACTGGAGTATATAAGGACTCAAGATTCAACATCAGATCACTCCTGATGAAAACATAAGACTGGAGTAAATAAGGACTCAAGATTCAACATCAGATCACTCTGATGAAGACACTAGACTGGAGTATATAAGGACTCAAGATTCAACATCAGATCACTCCTGATGAAAACATAAGACTGGAGTATATAAGGACTCAAGTTTCAACATCAGATCACTCCTGATGAAGACACTAGACTGGAGTATATAAGGACTCAAGATTCAACATCAGATCACTCCTGATGAAGACACTAGACTGGAGTATATAAGGACTCAAGATTCAACATCAGATCACTCCTGATGAAAACATAAGACTGGAGTATATAAGGACTCAAGTTTCAACATCAAATCACTCCTGATGAAGACACTAGACTGGAGTATATAAGGACTCAAGTTTCAACATCAGATCACTCCTGATGAAGACACTAGACTGGAGTATATAAGGACTCAAGATTCAACATCAGATCACTCCTGATGAAAACATAAGACTGGAGTATATAAGGACTCAAGATTCAACATCAGATCACTCCTGATGAAGACACTAGACTGGAGTATATAAGGACTCAAGATTCAACATCAGATCACTCCTGATGAAAACATAAGACTGGAGTATATAAGGACTCAAGTTTCAACATCAGATCACTCCTGATGAAGACACTAGACTGGAGTATATAAGACTAAAGTTTCAACATCAGATCACTCCTGATGAAGACACTAGACTGGAGTATATAAGGACTCAAGATTCAACATCAGATCACTCCTGATGAAAACATAAGACTGGAGTATATAAGGACTCAAGATTCAACATCAGATCACTCCTGATGAAGACACTAGACTGGAGTATATAAGGACTCAAGATTCAACATCAGATCACTCCTGATGAAAACATAAGACTGGAGTATATAAGGACTCAAGTTTCAACATCAGATCACTCCTGATGAAGACACTAGACTGGAGTATATAAGGACTAAAGTTTCAACATCAGATCACTCCTGATGAAGACACTAGACTGGAGTATATAAGGACTCAAGATTCAACATCAGATCACTCCTGATGAAAACATAAGACTGGAGTATATAAGGACTCAAGATTCAACATCAGATCACTCCTGATGAAAACATAAGACTGGAGTATATAAGGACTCAAGTTTCAACATCAGATCACTCCTGATGAAGACACTAGACTGGAGTATATAAGGACTCAAGTTTCAACATCAGATCACTCCTGATGAAGACACTAGACTGGAGTATATAAAGACTCAAGTTTCAACATCAGATCACTCCTGATGAAGACACTACGCTAGAGTATATGTAAACTCATCTTTCAAAACATATCGTTTATACTCAAGATATTAGATAGACGTACGACAATCTATAATGTCATATAAATCACGATAAAAAATCTGGTCCCCGGAGTCGACATGCTATCAGGCAGGCAACAAACAAAGATGAGATAGCTGTACAAACCTGTATTATCGCAGCAAAGCTTCAAATCTTTAACAACAAGATGATTATAGATGTATAACACGAAAATAGCGATCAATATTAGTAAAGTTGGCTTAAGGATGTCATTTAATGTAAACATAAGTTGAAATTAAACAGTTACAATTAACTATAGCGTATAAATATCTTTCCCTATGTAAAATAATCTATACATTATCCTCAATAACGAACTATACACATTGTTGCATTTTAATATATACGAACTTTGACCTCGGGTGTGTTGCGGAAACGTCATGTAAGGAGTCTTAAAGCATCAATATAAATTAGCAAACTTTGTGATCTATGTTACTTATTGAACTTAAATTGAGCAATACAAAAATCTTAATCTTCAACAAAACATATCCAAAATATTACTATGAATGTATAAAAAGTATAGAATCGCTAAAAAGATCACATTTGCACGCTTATTCAAAAACTCTTCTAAGGTTATCGTTTGCGCCTATTACGTAGGTTTGAGGGACAATATAAGTACATGCATGTACAACAAAAAGAACACGGGTGAAGGCTTTAATTCGTATTACTTCGTTCGACCTGAGTTCGACCACTTAGTTGATAACTTTTTCTAAACA